TGTGTGTATAATGCACGAACCAATGTCATATAGGTAGGCATTGTAAAAAAGTGGACCTAAGTGAGAGCCCTGAGGAACACCTGTAGGTATGTTTATGTAGCTCGAACGGAAACCACCTATCACGACTGCTTGTGAGCGGTTTGTGAGATATGATTCAGTCCATCGGAGCAAGTCACCGTGAATCCCTAATATTTGTAATTTGTTGAGCAGGATCATGTGATCCACACGATCGAAAGCTTTTTCAAAATCAGTGTAGATCACATCAACCTGCCCACCTTGATCCATATTTTCAAGGACAAAAGAAGAAAAACTTGCCAGGTTCGTAGTGGTGGATCGCCTTTGTAAAAGACCATGTTGCTGCTCAGGGAAGGCACGTGAAAGCGTGGAGTAAATTACGTTATATACTACTCGTTCAAGGATTTTAGCCGCGGTGTTCAAAATAGAAATGCCTCTATAATTATTTATTTCTGTACGTGATCCCTTCTTGTGTACAGGGATTATGTGTGCACACTTCCATTGATGCGGAAATATCCCTTCACGTAGAGAGCGATTAAATATAATAGTCAAGGGGAGAGCAAGTGATTTAGCGCATCGTGACCAAAAAAAAGAAGGTAACCCATCACTACCGGCACCTTTGTTCGTGTCCAAAGTTTTCAACATATTTTCAATTATTGCAGCGTTTGTCTGTACATTAGAAACGGTGTCAGTACACAACGATTCCGTATGTGGATATATGTAGTTATTAGTAGGAATACCAAATACACTCTTGAAGAATGAGTTGAAAGCATTGCATATGTCTATACCATCGGTGTACTCTATATCTTTCAAAGACATTTTTTTAGGGTAACCTGACCCACCCCGAATGGCTTTGACGAAAGTCCAGAATGTTTTAGGATGTGTTTTGATGCTATTTTCACAACTTGACGTAAATTTATTAAAGCATTCTCTCTGAACACGGTGTTCTCTTGCTCGGAGTAACGAAAACTCATCGTAATCTAATCTATTCCTGAATTTTTTCCAACGTGTGTGAGCATTGTTTTTCTCCTTAATTATTTTTATTAAAGCAGGTGTGTACCATTTAGGATATGATCGCTTCCCTGTGTTATAACTAAAAGGCACATGTAAACGAACACAACTATCCAGTATGTTATAAAAGGTATTTGTAGCTTCGTCTACAGTGCCTGTACATAAAAGAGACCTCCAGTCCTGTTCTAAAAGATATGTATTATTTTTTTCATAATCAGCCCTCCTGAAATTTCGCCTCGGCGCAGCTGTTTCCCGTAGAGGAGTAATGTTTAAATTCAAAACTATGAAGCAAAAAGAAGGATGTGCGTGGTCCTCCCTGAGTAGCGGCGCAGCCGCAGGGATGATATTCAGAGGTAGATTAGAGAATGCAAGATCTAATGTGTTACCAGCATGATTTTTTAAAGTATTAAATTGTCTTAACCCGTGAAATGTAAGTGTTTCCATCAGCTGGATACTCGCTTCTTGTACCTCAGTAGGCCCTTTTTTCAAAGCTGTATATCCGTTTGGGTTCCAAGAAATGAACGGCAAGTTGAAATCTCCTAATATTACAAAATTATCATTTGGAGAAAGCTCGATAATACTATTAATTTTTTGTTTAATAAAAACGAGATTCGATGGCATTTGATGAGAGTCAGGGGCAATATATGCCACACAAATATGTAAGTTGGAATTTGAAGCGCACGCGCTTGAAGGAATAGTAATCCACAATAGCTCAGTAAGACCGCATACGCCGAGGTCACGATACATGGCACCGAGTGTACGTCGTGTCAGTATTAATACTCCACCACCAGTACTTTTACCACTATTACGCAAATCTCTGTCAGCCCTGAACACGTCATACCTATCGTCGCACAACTCACCATCAAAAATTCCACTGTGTAGCCATGATTCTGTCATAATTATAATGTCGTAATCGTTCGTCAAAATATTTAGTCGTAATTCAAGACATTTAGTCCTAAGACCACGAACATTCTGATAATAACAGTACAAATTATTTACAGCCATTAATCAAAATCAAATATGTACCCAATTGTGTTAAATTTATAGTACTTTAAAGCTACATAGAGTAACAGAACTAATAATTTGTTTACGTTAGACTTAAGTAGTACGAACAATGATATATCACTTCGGCAGTTGCTAGTTAATAGTGACTTGATTTTTTGTATAAGGTGGTAGAGTATAAAATTTATCAATAAGATATAACAGAATGAATCCTTAAACGATTTGATTAATATAGTCGAGTCAACATAAAAGGGTGCGAGCTTATAAATATGCGGAGCAGTTATTAAATATATATATAAATATCGCGAATGTAACAATATAGACGTTTTAAGTATTGTTGTTAGATTTAATAAATAAATATTGAACGGGTAATTATTATGAATAATAACAATATAATAGATGAATTCATAGATTGACAAAGTAAAATAAATTAATACATAATATACAAGACGCCAGAAAAAATATAATTGGTATTTTATTAAATATAAAGGATATAGTAAAAGAAACCATAATATATATATAGTTGAGTAACGTTCGTGAAGAATATGGATGCAAATTAGCTGCACAATTATCGCGCGTGTGACTAATACACTTAAGACCAAAAATATTTCATTAATTGAGCTCCCTTTACGTGCGGTCAAACAATGATATATAATATAGACAAAATGAGATAAGAGAGACCAATGAATTGCTTTTACAACGATGGAATTGGTAAATTTAAGCAATATAACGTACTTGAAAAGAGAACAAAACAATATACAATGTAAGATTAAATTAATTTTAAAACGTCTCTTTCCTGTGATATATGCAAAGCCGGAGATGTGTCGTTCTTCCTGACGTAGATCCTCCCGTTTTTTGTCCACACATATTGATACTGCTTAAGTTTCGCCGTCTCCCTACATTTCTTTAGTAGAAGTTTATTGCACTGTGTAAGATGCTCATTGACATATACGGGACGAACGTTGCCATGTATGGCAAGGTCTTTGGTGGTCAGTCGGTTTTTTCGAGTGCCAGAGATTATGTTGTCCTTTAGAAGACGGGATTTAAGCTTTGCAATTATATTTTTCGGGCGGCCCTGTTGTTTGATTTTCGGTGTGACACGATTAACTTCTAATATATCATTAGGGGAAATAGTTACATTAGACTGCTTAGCAATGGATATAATTAAATTGGTTAAGTCTTCATCCTTGATTTCAGGAACGCCGACGATCTCTAAGTTCAAAAGGCGATCTCTTTGATTATTTGTGTTAATTTCCAATTGTAATAGTCTGTTTTCGTTAGTCAATAAGTCCATTTTAGATTCTAGTGATTCGATTGCTTTTTTGTTAACAGATAATAATTCCATTTTCTTTTGAACATGGTCATATTGGTCGCAATTGAATTGTACAGAGTTTTCTAAAACTGTGATTTGCTTCATTGTCTCGTTGTACTTTAGGTCAAGAGATATGACCGACTTTTTAATCTCGTGATATTCCTGACGGACGCTGCTTAGTTCCGACATGATCTCAGCAAAGGATGCATTTAGTTTCTCAAGATCGGTTTTAATACGAAGTCTAAATTATTTTTAATTCCTGATATTTCATCTTGAATTTCCTTTTTCCAGTCATGTAAAGTTCTACGTATCTCTGAGGTAAAATTATTGAGAGCCTCTGAGAAGTCGTTGTCGTGTTTATGCTTACGAGTAGTCATATTGCTAGGCTCACCTGATTTATTGATGTCAGGGTTGGAATTGTAAGGCTTGCGTGGCCTGGAATCTTTCCTTATATGAGATAATACACAATCTGCCACTTTCTGATTTGGTTCGGCAAACATCAAAATCCGGCGGTGTTCACGAAAATGTCCGTTTTTCACTCCTAAAATTTTTTCGTGAAACTTGTGCTTATAGAAATTTACACCACTGTATAAAGCATCCTTTTTCGCATCAAATGTATAATTATATATAAAATAATATTATAATAAATAGTTATTTTAAACAATATATTTCAAAATATGGACAATTGTCACCTGTCACTTTTCTTCTTTTTGATTATAGAGGAATTGAAATGTGGGCAATAATTGCATTTGATTAATGGCAATAACTGGATGCACCGGGCAATTACTGTGTTACGAGAGGTTTATTTTGTTTATTTTTTTTATATTACATTACCAAAGATATTGTAACTAATGATTGGTGTTCATTTAGATAATATATTGAAGATACCAAAAAAAAAAATATATATATATATATATGACTTCATCTATTCAATAATAAATTTTACAAATGAGATAAAACGAGTGTGAATAACTTAAGCGGGCAATTACTATATCGGTTACCCTAGGTATTATTTTTTGTATTATTTTTATGTATGTTATGATTTTAATATGTAAAACTGGACCTTTAGGCCAAATCTTGAGTATTTTTATTCGGTTTATTATAATTTCCCAAATGTATAATTATCCTTCATAGTTCACTGCTTCACAATATGTTGATGCGTCACATTGTGCAGTTCTTGGGAGATTTTGACGGCAACGTGATCCAGCAGACAGCTGACAGTTGGCGATGGTATCTAAAGGCGCCTATGCAAACAAACAGCTAATCTTGAGAATCCATCACCATCAGAGCACTTGTTTTACTGTTTCCACTAATAGTTCACATGCGCAGACACTTAATACACAAAATCGCACCACTTTTACATATCAAATTCCACTTCAAACCATTATTTTAACAATAATACAGGAGCAGCAAACCGCTGCCGGTCAATTTCCCGCCAAAACTCCTCTATCTCTAGTATATATCATGAAGTTATAGATAACTTCATGGTATATATACAGTAATCTATGGTTATTATATTCTTTGAGTTATCTGTGTCTGTGGTGCTTTCTATTTTTCTATTCCTTGCAAGAACAAGAAAATATAAATAAAGAAGGTTAAGAATAAAAAATACCTACTTAATAGAAGATTAAAACAACTGAATTCATGCAAATAATTCACAATGTCTAAAATATTTACTCCTACTAATCAAATACGTTTAACAAATGTCGCTATTGTAAGGTTGAAAAAAGGTGGAAAGAGATTCGAAATTGCGTGTTATAGAAACAAGGTTTTATCATGGAGAAATAAGTTGTAAGTTACCTACTAATTATAATTCAGTTAGTTTTTTTACAAGTAAAATGTTAAATATGCACACAGTTAACTTCATAGTGGTAAGTATACTGAGGTCCAAAATAGAATAATATAGAATATTTTTTATTCAATAAATATTGAAGGTATAAAGTTTTTATTGAAACCAAAAAGAATCTATTATTAATATGTTTTCTAATTCTCGTTACTAACCAAGTTTACCTAAAATCACTATGTAGGTATTTTCTGAGAGTGGGACCCTTCTTTGTTGGAGCCAAATCATTCATGCTGCAGCCAAAATACAGATCAGCAACATGACTAGCACATATTAATATAAGTAACGATGTAAACAAAAAAAGTGTAAATACAGCAACTGTCAATCTTTTCTGCCGACTTTATTAACAGTGGTAGAGCCACGCGGCAGCTTTTGCTGTCGCACGTATGGGCCGGCTCGAACCGGGGTAGTACCACGACCTCACAGAAAACCAGCGTGAAGTAGAGGTTTACCTCTGCGTTTCGCTTGGTGAGTGCAGGTGGCCGGAGGCCCTTTTTACTGGAAATGAGGCATTCCATCTTAGTCCTCACGGGTGACAACGCATCTACATTTTGATTTGTAACAGAAGATAGATGTAGATTTCTATGGGCCGCAGCAACCACTTAACATCAGGTGGACTGTGTGCTCGTTTGTCACCCTTATCCTATAAAAAAAAAAAAAAAGACTTCCAAAGAGGAGATGGTACTCAATTCGACTGTATGTTTTTTTTAATGTGTGTTACCTCATAACTTTTTACTGGGTGAACCGATTTAGATGATTCCTTTTTTATTTGAAAGCTGGTACTTCTCGTGTGGTCCCATATGAATTTGATCAAGGTCAGACCAATAGTTTTTGAGTTATTCTTAATAACTCATATTGAAGTCGGCTGTTCCAAATTTTTAATTTTTAATTTTTATTTTATAATTATATTACTTCATATCACTTTTACAGGTTTTAAATTAGTCATTGTTTATGGATAGATAGATTGCATGCAACCATGAAAAAGCTACAGCATGGTTTTACAATGTTTAAATAATGTTATTTTTAACTATTAATAATTTATTTAATAAAGTGCTTTCAATGACCTATAACTAATTAACTTAACTCTTTGTAGAGAAAAGGATATAGATGAGGTGCTGCAAACACATACAGTGTTTACAAATGTGTCTAAAGGGCAAGTAGCAAAAAAGGAAGATTTAATTCAAAATTTCGGTAAAGATAACCACACAGAAATTTGTAAAGAAATTTTGGAAAAGGGGGAACTTCAAGTAACAGATAAAGAGCGACATTCTCAAATAGATTCTTTATTTAAAGATATTGCAACAACGGTTGCTGACAAATGTGTTAATCCTGAAACAAAAAGGCCATATCCTGTATCTATAATTGAAAAAGCAATGAAGGATATACACTTTTCAGTTAATGTTAACAGGAGTGCAAAACAACAAGCACTTGATGTTATTCAAATGATCAAAAAAGAAATCCCTCTTGAAAGAGCACAAATGCGAGTAAGAATTTCACTTAGTGGTAAAGATGCACGAAAAGTTAGAGATAAAGCCATTAAACTTGCAACGAGTGTTGAAGAAGAAAATTGGGAATCTGGTACTGCAAATATCATTTGTTTAATAGATCCAGGTAGTTTCAGACATTTAGATGAGATGATACGAGCTGATTCAAAAGCCCATGGACAATTTGAATTACTGAATTTGAAAGAAATGGTTGAAGGTGAACAAGCTTTATAAGTACTTTAATCAAATATTTATTTTTATTATTAACCCAGGAGATTTAATTAATATTTTGTAATAATAAAATATAAAATAAAGTTTATAAATGAAAAATATGTAAACATGCTTTTTGATACTATAATAAAATATTGAAAATTAAAAAAATACTACTATATATAAGATCCTATTTTCAGCTTAGATATCACCCTTAAAAGAGGATTGTGGTGTATTATATGTAAATACGATTATACATATAAGATCTAGTCATTTCAGTTTCTTTGGAGAATAAGTTCGCTAGTACGACTGCCGGTACCTCAGATTTTATAAAAAACACCTTAATACCATTTTATAATTGAAAAAGCAAAACCCAGGCTTTTTCTTGGGTAGTATGGTGGCCAAAAAAGGTTTGAATATGAGAACTAATTTGAGGAAATTAAGTACCAAAAGTACTACAGAAACTTACATATTGATAAGACTATAAATCACTAAGGCTTAGCTTACGAAAAACAGCTGAGTTAATGCTTTGCATAATCTTTGATTTTAAATTTATAGTTGTATCAGGCTAAGATTAAGCTAAGCTTATGCTAAGGCCCAGACAAATATTAATGGATGCTTCATTCCACATATTGTGTTCTAGACTTTACTGTATAAAATCTATACAAATAAATAAAATTGAAGTGTCTGTTTGTAATGTCATAATTACAGATTTTTACTAAATGCATATGAAAGTATATACGGTACTAATAACAAAAATACAATTTTAAAAAAAAGCAGGACCGATTTTGACGGGATTTTCACTGGCAGATAGCTGATGTCATAAGGAGTAACTTAGGCTACTTTTATTTTAGAAAAAGAATTAGGGTTCCGCGCAAAAAAATTAAAACCCCAAATAACACGCGGGGAACAGCTAATTAAACATATATATAGATATATATATATAAAATCGAAAACAGTCCAAATTGTATTTCATAAATATTACATAAAATAGAAAACGCGCGTATGAGAACGGAAACTGATGAGATGAGTGCAAAATCAGAAAAAAGATTTTAAGAAATTCGAAATAAGATTGAAATTACGTAAATAGAAAATGGATATTTAAAATAGAAGAAGGCCTAAAACTACCTATTTATTGTTATAAATAATTAGAGTAACATAAAAACAACAATTTAAAATTAATTCGATGGTTTTGAATAATATCCTAAGTTTTACGTAAGTCGTTTATAATATCGTTGACTTAGGCTTTGCTGAGCGCGCACTCAGCACGACTTCGAAGTTAGCTCTATAAATACAGTATAGATCTGTCTTCGTCTGAAAGTCAAATAAAAAGCTTTTTTTTCCTCCGCACACATCGATCACTAATAAAAAACTAGATACACAATCAGTGACAAAAATGGCATAACCGAATGTGCACCCACTCGAACATATGGGTGCACTTTTAATCTAGTAGCATTCGAATGCTCTGACGGTAAACATGCCTCAGCGCTCGTTTAAAAAGTATAAAAATCACACAACCAGAACGCTAAAAAGGATGGAATTTCATATTTTCGGTAAGTATTAATATTAACATTATTTAATTATTATAACTTTATTGTAAATACTGATATTTTGTCAAGAAATCATCGTAAAAGTATTTTTAAAATTAAGTCGTAATAAAATAAGTCTTCATTGTTCGAAGTATATGCGTTGATTCTGTTCCATTTGTGGAAACTCTATTGTTTTTTTTTATTATTAAAGTTTGATTGTTTTTTTTATTTAATGAGAGTTATTTACTATTCCTCTAAATATTATAGTACTCGAAACGTCGGAAATATAAAATAAATTAATATACGCGATAAAATCCGTAAAACTAGTTTCATTTATATGTGTAGTGAACGCGTAAATATAAGAAATCATTATAATTATTCAGTTTTATCCGGTTTTTTTAAACATCTGTAAATATGAACATTACGTCAGAATATGGACAATGATATTCTTAAATTTTGCAAGAACTTTCTGTACTTATTTTTTATATTTAGTAACTATTATATTTACATTTAACGTGTTTGTTAAGCAATATCTTTAAATTTTTCACACAAGGTAAAAAAAAAATTATGTATGGCTGTTTCAATTATGTACTTTCATTACTAAATGAATGTAGTGTACTATCCAAAAGCATATTTACATTTAGGTAATAATATAACCATTACACATATACACCATAGAATAGAATAGAATTAAAAAAAAATAAGAAAAAATATTTTTTTTAATAAGTTAAAATAAAAAATAAATAAGAATTTTATAAGTAAGCCTTATTAATTAGACCAATTATGTAAAACAAGTTTAAAAAAAATATAAAATTAAAATTACAGTAACAAAAAATATTGTGCAGTTCGACTCCACTCTCCTTGTCCAAGCGACGAGCCTCGGTCGTAAAATTTTATTGCTTTTTGTACGTTGCTTTGTCGATACAACTTTAGGCATTTCACTTAAGGTTGAATTTACATTAATGTATATTTATATCAACTAGAATTACGTCAAAACATTTGGCGACAGTTTTTAGAGAACTTTTGTACGGGATTGTGCATCTAGTTTTTTATTAGTGATCGATGTCCGCACACCGTTCTGCGGCGATGCGGAAAGGTGTGCGGAGTACAGGGGGTGAAATATAATGTGAAAATATCGCTCGGTCGATTGAAAAAATATTTATAGTATGATGATATGTAATATATATACATTACATCTCAGTGTAAACGGTTCCATTGAAAAGTACGGTGAGCGATATTAATTTATATCTCGAGATATAATATATATTCTATTATGTCCCATAATGAAAAGTCGGCTTAACTTGTGATAAAAAAAAAACAATGAGGGCTAATAATCTTGCTCTCACCAGGTAACGCTAGGTAAAGACAGGTGTAGTTTTTTGTGATACAATATCATTTAATTGAGAAGCATAAACTATAATAAGAAGTACTAGATTGATAAGTTAGTTTTAAGTATCAGTTTCTAGAGTATTATGCTATAATACAAAACAAAAACAGTGCCTCATTGGTTTGCTTTTTAATTTTTTGCACATTTATCTTATTTTTTCTACTTTTAGGCACATCTCTAGTTTGGTTTATTTATTTCTAATGTATTTTTAATCTATATCTATACTTATAATAAATCTGTAGAATAGTCGTGTCTGTAATTGTAATATTTTCTGGGGAAAAAAAAAACAAGTCCAAGGGACTAAACAAACTGTACTAAAGTCAAATTAGTGATTTTTTTTACAATTTTTGTCAGTCTGACTGTCTGTGTATTCACGATTAACGCAAAAACCACTGGACGGGTTTCCATGAAATTTTGTGTGTACGTAGTTAGAGTCCCGGCCGTTAAGGCGCAGATTGAGCAAAATGTCGCGCTAGTTATTATTTGTGCGGTTTTTAGGAGCTATCTACTTTTTATTTAAAAGATATATCAACAAATAAAAAACATATTTCTACATAATCTTGATTTCATAAGAGCTATATCCAATGTTTTTTAAAGGAATAAATATTAATATAATCTCCTTACAATGAAACCACATAAATGTGAAATTATTATTGATAACATGCATCTCCTCGTAAAGTAAGTATTATTTTATTTTGCGATTTACACCAATGGATAGGCAATTAATTAATGAACATTTCTATTATAAATTTTTTTCAAAAGACTAAAATTTGATTTTATTAAGAAATTATTTTAAAATCTGGGCGTATTCACTGCCCAAGGGCTTGCTGGAGTCAGTGAGCGCTGAGCTCTTCGACGTGAAGCCCGTGTCGTTAGAGCGTCGGCATACGCTCGCTCAGCGCATACGCTCACGTCAAATCAGTCGATAATATTATTACTTAAACAAATAATACTTAGTAGTATTATTTGTTTGTTTTGGGTATAATTTTTCGTAGTAGTTATACATATATTTGTTGTATTTTTTACTGCGCGATGAAGCTTTTTGCGTGTATTTTCTTTGAACTAAATGCAAATATAAAAATGAAGCACCATTAGCATGTAAGGTTCGAATCCATAATTAACATTTCGACAAATATTATAATTTACACTATAAAAGGCTTATTCAATATTATCAGTATAGTATACAGTCAAAAATAATCCTAATACCCAACCACAATATCTTATTAGGTATAGTACTGCCTCGTTGGTCTAGTGGTTGTAGTAGTGCGACTGCTGATCATGAGGTCCCGGGTTCGAATCCTGGATCGGGCCAAAAAGTCAAGTTATGAGTTTTTCATTTATGTTCTAAGTTATAATTATAATTAGTATTACTAAGTTATAGTTTTATGCTAAAATATAGTATATTATTTATTGCTTGTTTTTTCTTCTTTTTCAAAAAATAATTGAGTACATAAGGTGTTATACACGCCCCTAGCTGCCCCAATCAAGGATGACGGGATTAGGGCCCGTGAGTAGTCCATCGACGAGCAGCAGAAGGACGGGGCCAGAATATGGCCACGTGGAATTTCTCAAATTACACTAAAATATATGGGGGAGCGTTCTATACTACAGCCAGTCGACCAGCAGAGGAATCAGACGGAGCTTACTTACCTATATCCAAGGCGCCTGGTCCCTCCGGAGTCGGTCTGGTGGTATGTGTTTGTGTAGTGCAAGGGAAATAAGGTGATGTGATGTGTATCTGGGTGTGACTGATGGTGATTGAACCTAGACCTTGGCCGTCGGCAGCAGCTCGAGCGTCGACACCGCTCCAACTTGAGGGGGGCTTCCGAGGCGTTGTCCACAGTCACTTTCCTCGTTCGTCACGATTGACTAACTTACAGAAGCCACTAACTATCGCTGGGTATAAGGTTAACGCACAAAACGCACACGGAGTTTACGGATCAAAGGTCACTACCGTTTCGCGTAGCAACAGTTAGTTCTAGAATATCAACGGCCGCACTAGCTAATATTGCACTTATGCAGATTCTGAGTCAGACACAATAAGTCCCTGGGAAGCTCTCCAGCTAGGAATACGCGTCACAAATCCTAGACCGTATATTTACGTCCGC